TTCACTGGCACTCAGGACTTTTCATCCTTTTTTGTTTCCTTCTGACCCTCCTTTGAGCTCAGATTATTTTTGTGCATGTCTGGACATAATTAATGGGAGATGAGAAACAGAAGAAAACCATTTTAAACCAAATTTGCATCCTGCCGTGGTTGGTTTTATGTTTGCATGCCCTTAGTTTCCATCACATCGTTTTCTCTTTTTTAGTAGCTTTTAAAATGCACATCATATATATTAGCAGACACTTTAACAGAAATAAATACAAATGTGTAAATATATGTAGCTCACTGTACATTTGATAGTACTGAAAAGAAAACATGACAATTATTGGATGCCACTATATTTTTCATTTGAAAGATTAATATACAGTAACCATTTTTAGAAAGTTTGTGGGTTCTATTATCTTCTTATAGTTTTATGAACAAGACTATTTCCCCCTTTAATCCAGTCAACAGTTTGGAAGATTTTAACTTGAACTGATATTATGATCAATATGGCTGTCCTATTCAATTTTCAGATGCTGAAAATGGCTCCAATACAGTTCATAGCATCACATGTGAATACAGATCTATAGTTGTAGCCTACAAGACTTGGAAATCTTGCTGGGTTCACAGATGTGGGTGTCTAGCAGCTTATTGTAGAAAATAATGTAAGAAAGCTGGCACGTTCTGAGCCTTTTCCTCTTGCTGACGCTGCCTCCTTTACTCTCCTACCACCTATACAGAGCACCAAGAGTGGCGGCTATCAGGAGGACTAGATGCTTGTGCTGGCCGAGTAGAGGTCTATTACCATGGCATCTGGAACACTGTATGTGATGGGAGCTGGTACCGGAATGAGGCTGATGTGCTCTGCCGTTCCTTGGGCTGCAGTGAAAAGGCTTCAGTCTCACGGGTGGCCTTCAACCACACACTGCTGGGCAAGATGTCCTATCAGTGCCTTGGAAGTGAAGACTCACTCGCCGGTTGTGACTGGCTCTACAACAAAGTCAGTCCATGTGAACAGTTCAGAGCTGCTGGTGTGATATGTAATGGTAATTGGTACCAGGGCTTTAATCGGTGTGTGTCCCCCTTGAGGCCCCATTCAGTTCCTCTGCATTGGAGTAGAATGAACATGCAAGAGCAAAAAGCAAGGATGAGCACTCTGTCCCACCACCTTCCACGTCCACACGTTGCCATTTTCATCTCCCTCCGTGTGCTGGGGGCAAATTGCTGCAGTGGGTAACCTCTCAAATCTGTGGAGGCAGCTCCCTGTAGAGCACAGAACCCTGATTTTCCACAGTTCTGCATTGTGTGGGAAGTCTGTACAGATACAAAAGGTGTTCTGCTGCAGAAGTTCCCCCGTGACACACAGAGGGCGATATGAATGGTAAAGGAAGGGGATGGAGCTGGCACGTTCATCCTTGCTACCCGCCCTCACTTGTTAATTCTACCCTGAGCAAGAGTGCCTGAATAGGGTTTGTGTGTTCTCTCCTTCTTTCCCTCTTCTTCTGCACTGGACTTCTGCCCAGAGGTAAGAGCATAAAAAGAGCCATGCTGGATCATTGCAAAGGTCCATCTAGTCCAGCATTCTGTTCACATGGTGGCCAACCTGCTGCCCATGGGAAATCCACAACCAGGACAAGACTGCATCAGTCCCCTCCTGCCCAAGTTCCCCAGCAACTGGTGCACATAAGTACATTGCCTCTGATACTGGAGGTAGCATATTCCACCAGGACGGATAGCCACGGATAGCCTTCTCCTTCATGACTTTGTCCAATTCCCTTTTAAATCCACTTCCTCAAGATGCAGTGGCCAACACTACATCTTGTGGACATGAACTCCATACTTTAATTATGCACTGTGTGGAGAAGCACTTCCTCATATCTCTGCTGACCCTCTTGCCGATCACTTCATGGAAGGACTCCAGGTTCCAGAATTATGAAGGCTGGAGAAAATATGCCCCTATCCACTTCCTCCACACAATGCATCAGTGTGTATGCCCCTATCGAGTCAATAATGTCCTTTTTCAGGTGCACTGGCCAGAACTGTGAAGTCACACCACAGGGACAGCACAATCTTAGCAGGGTTCCCCCCGTCCCCAATTCATTTCCTAATTATGTTTGGCATGGGGTCTGCCTTTTTCACAGCAGCTGGGCTGACATTTTTATGGCGCTCTCCACTGCAACCCCAAGATCCCTTTTTTGATCAGTCACTGCTAGCTCGGATCCCATCTGCTCATATTTGAAGTTGGGATGTTTTGCCCATTATTCACTACTTTACTCTTGCTTACACTGAACTGCATTTGCCATGTTGATGCCAATTCTCCCAGTCTGGAGAGATCAGTATCCTTTTTTGCTTTAACCACCCTAAATAGTTTAGTGTCATCAGCAAACTTGACCATTTTAGTGCTTACCCATACTTCCAGATTATTTATCAGTAGGTTGAAAAGTGCTGGTACAGCTCCCTGTGATACCCTGCTGTTTGCATCTGTCCACTGAAAGAATTTGCCATTTATTCCTACTCCCTGCTTTCTGTTCTTCGAGCAGTTATTGATCTATAAGAGGACCTCCCCTCTTATTCTGTGATTACAAGATTTGTTCAGGAGTCTTTGGTGAGGGACTTTGTCAAAAAGTTTTGGAAATCCAATGAAACAATGTCTACCAGATCATCCCTGTCCACATGTTAATTCACACACACACACACTGGAAGGTTAGCGAGACAGGTAGCAAAGATGGTAGGACCTAGAAAATAAGTTTATAATGAGAGGCTGAAAGAACTGGGCCTGTTCAGTCATGAGAAAAGAAGACTATGAGGTGACATGATAGCACTGTACAGGTACCTCAAAGGCTGTCACAAAAAAGAAGGAAAAGACCTCACTCATCCCAAATTGTAGGACATGAGACAATGAACTTAAGTGCAGGCTAGACACAAGGAAGAATTTCCTTTCTGTAACAGCAAAATGACAGTAGAACCAGCTGCCAAGAGGGATTGTGTGCTCTTCCACAACAGAAACATTTGAGAAGAAACCGGACAGCCATCTGAGTGGGATGGTGTAACTGGCATCCTGCAACAGCAGGGGTTGGACTCGGTGGCCTTCTTGGCCACTTCTGACCCTACTACTCTATTATTCTGGGATTAATGGTAGGTAATGCCTGAGAGACAGAGAGAGAGAGAGGCACACTTTGTCTAGTTGCTTTCCCCACATTCATCTGTTTGGGGTTTTCCTATGACCACTTTCCTTCCGTTGTTTGTTTCCCCTGCTAACTTCCTTTACTCCAAAAAGTGACGCAAGTGCTCCCATGAGTCAGTTAATGGGAGGGGAGAGCGGGTGGTTCACATTTAGTTCTTTCATCTTTCTTGGGCAAATTTGCAATTCTTATTAAACACTCTTTTAGAACAATGACCAGTCCCCACCTCCCTCATGCACGCACATGCACACACACACCTTACTCCAAGACAGTTGGGTTGTCCTAGCAAAAGCCAAAATAAGTTGGCAAAAAGAAAATGCACATCAAATACAAGAGTTGGGAAAGGAACAGGCAATCAAAGGCTAATATTTTGTAGATACTATGAAACAAACCAGTAAAAATAGTCTGTAGTGAAGCTCCACTGGCTATTCCTAGATGCTGCAACTAGTGGACAATGTGCTCAAGCTCAAGATAGATGGAGAATCACATGGGGGAATGAAATAAAGAGCCATCGAGAGTCTAGCTGCCTGGCTTTATCAGGAAAGAGTGGGTAAACCTGCACAGCCTGTGTTTTTTCTCCAAATGCATTAGGAGGCCACTCCTAGGCTGGGCCAGAACAATAGTGTCAAAGGGTTGGTGGAGGCCTTGGCAGCAATCCGCCCCAACCCTCTGCTCAGGCCAGCATCTGCAACTGCAAGACAGATCCCTGACAGATGTCCATCTAGCCTCTGCTTAAATAACTCTAGAGAAGGAACACCCTCCTCCTCCCCAAGCAGTTTGTTCCCCAGTCATACAGCTCTTCCCGCTAGAAGGTTCCCCCTAATATTTAGCTGGATTCTGCTTCCCTGTAATTTCCACCCAATGATTCTAGTTCTTTCCTGCAGAGCAGAAGAGAACAAATCTGCTCCTTCTTCCGCATGACAGCCCTTCAGAAATGTAAAGTCTGCTAACATGCCTCTCTAATCTTCTCATCTCCAAGCTAAATATATGCATTTCTTTCAGCCAATTCTCACAGGATTTGGTTTACAGATCCTTCACCATCCTAGTCACTCTCTTGACAGGACCCTATATATCAATCTGCTCCTTAAAATGTGGCACTAAGAACTGGGCAGGGTACTCCAGATGTAGCCTGTACAGCAGAGAATGGAGCTAAACTAATGCTTTCTACAATCAGGTTGCTAACTATCCTCTTGTCAATACAGCTTAGGACTAAATTAGCTTTTTAGCAGGCACATCACACTACTGGCTCATATTCAGCTTGTGATCCACCGAAACAACCATCAAACCGTGTCTTTCTCCATCCTATACTTATACCTTTGATTTGCTTGCTTGCTTGTTTTGCACATCTATGTAGCTTTTGTTGGGCTTGCTCCAGCCTCTCAAGATCATTTTAAGTTGTCTTTTACAGTGTGAGCTATCACAGTTCTGTGCCATCTGCTAGTTAGATAAGCATCCCCTCAATGCGTCATCCAAGTCCTTTATAAAAGCACAGCCCTGTACAAGGCCTGGGACAGGCCCTGGGGCCCTCCATTTGCCCTCCCTCCAAGCTGATCGAGAGCTATTTGTGTGCATTCACTCGGTTCAGTGGCTCAACCAGCTGTGGGTCCATCCTGCAGCAATATCATCCCATCCACATTTAGACAGACTGGAAAAGGAACCACCAAACAGCAATGGCTTTGGGGGAGCTAGATTTGAGAGGATGGAGACCAAGTAAGGGACAAGAGAGAATGATTGTGGTGAACGACGTGGCACAGCTCCCCCTGCACCCAGGTCTTTCCATGTCAGCATTGCAAGATGGAAGTAGCAGCTTCTTTGTTGTTCTTTGCTTCTTTTGGGGTGGAATCCATGCCAATACTTCCTTTCCCGTTGCAGATGGTAGCCACATGATCCAAGCAGGGTTGCCTTCTGGTTTTCCTGCTGCAGCATGAACTCCATGCCATTGTGCTGTCTGGCTGTTCTGCAGAGGGTGGTTGAACAGCGCTTGGCAACTGTACCACTGCCACCATCTGGAAACCCCTGATTGGGTGGCACAGCAGCAAGACAGCTTGTTTGGAAGATGCAGAAGCTACCAGCACAGCATCTCCCATAGTCTAAGGCTGATCAGCTGCCTCTGATCAGAAAGGCTGCCTCACTCCAAGGCTGAGATGTGCTAAGCTCACGTTGGTTCCTGTCCACTCATCCCCAGGGCCGACAGGTGCTGATGTGGAAGCAGCACAGGCTGTGCGCCTTGCATGGCTGCAACTCCCTGGCATCCGTGCTTGGGGAGGAGTACCCTGGGGCAATCCTAGTGCTCTCCGAAGCACATACTGTAACAACCACCTCTAGGCAGGGCCATTAGAAGATGCAGTCTGGGCAAGCCCTGGCTAACGATGTCTCTATCTTCCTCTTTCTCTCCCTGATACTGATGTGTTTCTCAGGTGTTGTTGGTTCATCTTTCGTGCTCTTTTCTGGATTGCAGGATCACTGGGTTTGGGTGGCTCTGCAAACACCCCAGGACCAGAAGCAGTGACTCTGACATCCCACTTGTCCAGCCCAAGTAAGTGCAGCCCATATAGGCCCCATTGTGTGCTTGTTGCCTGTTGCATCGCTGCGGGGAGCTCACTAGATACCCTCCCATACAGCTGTGAGTCTCTGGATGGCAATGTCTCGATTAGAGCGGCCCATAGATTACCACGTGTCTCCTGTACAGTGAGGCAGAAGCAGGATCCCTGCCTGGTTGGCAGATTACAATAAGACAGGACTTCCAGAGGGTCTCTATTACTCTGGCTTGTATCATAAGGCACAGAAGGATTTTTGGGCACTGGTGATAAAGCTTCTGCTTGTCCCAGGCCCATCTGCTCTAATGTCACAGAGAGGGAACCAGGCTGAGCTGCTCTGCCTCTGAAGGGTTCTCTGCCTGCCTTTGATTAAGTTGGCTTGAGGCATGGCAAGAGGAAAGCACTGGGAAAGGAGAGACAGAAGAGCCTGAGGAGAAGGTAGCAACAGCCTGAGAAGGCAGCTGGCCAAAGGAATGCAGGGGAGGTGCAAAAGGGGAAATGGGGAAGGGTGCTTTGAAGGAAAGAAAGCAAGAGGTGAAGGCCAGAATGAGCCAGGGAGATGGTAGGAGAGGAGAGGCCCACAGGACCAGCAGCGGCAGAGGCAGGGAAAGCCAAAGGTCCCATGCTGACTTGAAAGAACCCGCGCCTGCAGGCTTTTGGCGATGTACTGGAGTAGTGCAATTAGACAGGGAGGAGGGCTGCTAAGCAGCTCACCCCCTGCTGTGCTGAGTTGCAGGACAGCCTTGGGTGGCTTCCCCTGGCTTTCCGCCTTTGTGCCTGAAAGACCCTTGGGGGGCTTTCCATTGCTTAAAGGATGCTTGGCATATCCAAGGCAGAAATGTAGGGCACCCCCAGATACTTTGGAGCTAGTCTGCCTTTTACGCCTTATTGCCTGGTAAGGAAAGATAGAGGAAGCAGTGGGGAAATGTGTGCTGGGGTGGGGGGGCAGGTGACAGATGGAAGATGAGGATGCCTGGGCACCCCCACCCCACATGCCCCCACACATCAAAGTCCGCGGATGAAGCAGGGCAATTGCATGGCGAAGGCTTCTTTCAAAGCGTCTGCAGTGCTGAAGGAAGTTTCTCCCCAGGAGGCAAGCCTGCTCCAGTCCAGAAACATACAAAAGTTTTGAAGGGTTAAATGCAGTTGCTTGCCAAAGGATGCACACATTGCCTCCTCTGCGGTCTTGCCTCTGATTAAATGGCGGGGGGGGGGAGTAGTCTGAGGGTTCAGAACCTCTGAGAGTCTGAAAAATCTGTCTGTCTCCAGCCTAAATTTGGCCCCGGCAGGTGGGGTTTGCACTGCACGCATGGCTGAGTTTGCTGGTCACTGTGGTGTGAGTAGTGTTCGTTCCCATGTATAGTGTGCTACATGTATATGATTAAATGGGTACAGATTTCCCTAGGCAACCCAGAAAGGGCACTAATTCAAAGTCAGTTTTATGAGGCTCTTTTTCTCCCCCACGTCTTCCTCCCTTCCACTCACCCACCTCTGCTCATATTCCCATTTGTAGGTTGGAGTAGCCCTGAGAACTGGGAACCGACTCCATCCTACCAGATGCTGCAGATTCTCTGCATTCTCCTCGGGATCCTCCTTTTCTTGGTCACCCTGACCCTGATTATCACCTTGAAATGGCGACGGAAAAATGGTACCCTTGGTACGCTGGGTGTCACCAGCACCGCAAAGGGGGGGAATTGGTGGGATGGGGCTAGGATATTGCATTTGGAGAGGAAGAGCATGGGCTGTTTCTTCAGTAGGGCTAAGCTATGACTTTGAAACACCTTCCAGCTTCTTTCTGGCAGAAATCAGAATAACTATGAAGTGCTCCTGCCATGGGTTCACACAGGCAAGGAGGAGATGTCATAAGATGTGGATGTTTTTCAGATTCTGCCACTTCCAGAAGCCTGCTTTGTGGCCAGGCTATAATGCAAATTGAAATCTGCAGAAGGAGAGTGCAGAGAGATGTCAGAAATAAGGGCTGATTGACAACGAAGCCTTGAAGCTTCTCGAAGAAAAGTACTTAACTGAGCCGTGATCTCTTGGGGCTCTTGGCTGTGTTCTTTCCCTGATAAGTACACTGGCAGATAGACTCATGTCAGAAGGTACAGTTCGGCATCACTTAGAGAAGGGTTTCATGCACATCCCTTTCATGGGAAAGACGCAGTGTTCAGCCAGCCAGCTTCTGACATTCATGACAACTTTTCAGGAAAGCAGGCAAACATCGAATCCTCATTCAGTAGCGCCGAGCACGTTTCTTGGCACCCTGTGTTTGAACGTGTTCATGCCAGCGTTTTATGGACACCCAGCCTCTTGGCTGCAAAGTGCTACCTGTTGGTGCAAACACACTTCCTTGGGCATTCCAGCTACAATCATACTCAGCTGCAGTCTTATACAGCCAGACACCAGTTTCTCCAAAGGATTCCCTTTCTCCATACAAGCCTGCCCCACGAGCTTTGAATACTGTCAGAAAAGCCACCCTCCGGGTGCTGTCGTTTGGGTGAGGTGGGTGAGTGGGCCTTCTTGGCTGCAGTGCATGACTTATTTGATATTCCCCATGCAGTCTTGCCCGCACCTACTTCATTGTCCTATTTCCTCCCCTGCCTCATAATCTGTTATGGAAATTATTGTGAATGGCTGCCCTTTCCTTCATGTTTAGTTATACACTGTTTTACTGCTGTTGCTCTGTTAAATGTGAATAACTAAGCTACCTTGGACAAGGGTTTCTTCTCTTTTCCACTGAAGGATGAGCTGGAAATAGAGTTCACTTCATGCATCTTTCACATAGGCATGGACCAACCATGTGTTTGCTACTGATCTGCCCTCACTGATGGGTGGAAGGAGTGTGGACCTAGCAGGAGTCCGTGCCCCTTTGCAGACGGCCTCACAGGACACAACACCCTTCTCTGTGTGCAGATTGTGCCGTTTCCTCTGGCTTGGCATCAGCCCCTGCCCTGGTGAATCACAGTGTGCAGATCACAGCCACCGAAGCTCGTCATGACTACAGGGACATCCCCACAAGCCTCCCCAAAGAAGAAGGTAAGAGGCTGCAGCAGCGCTGGTTGCCTGCCCCACCTGGTGCTCCACTTCCCCGTCACTCCAGCAGCCCTCTCAATCTCACTCTCTATCGCTCCTTCTTTCCTGGTGGCGCTTTCCACCTTTGATGGTTTTGACCAGAATCTGCCAGTGGGGGGTGGGGGGGGGGCGGGGGCAGCTGCGCACTGGAATTAAGATGATGACACTGGAGAATTTAACCCTTTCCTCTCTGCTGTGATCCTGAGGGGGGGAAATCCTCTTTTTAAGATGGTATTTGTTGTGATGGTGGGGGAACGCCTGATAAACTTTCTGCCACTTAACATAGTTGCAAATCTGAATACTGTTCGGTAGCACATCTCACTTCCAAACAGTGAAATGCTTCAGGGATTCCCACACTTACCCAGGACTCTGTTTTCTTAGATGAAGGTCCCTGGAGACTTAGAGCATTTCTGTGATACAGGGTTTATTCACACAGGTATATGCACCGAACATAAAATGCAGACACATGCTGCATTCACAACATTAATATTGCAGGAGTCCTGCTCCCGCTCAGATTTATAGGGGAACTTCTAGTGCGTAAGCATTCACTGCAAAGAGCATAGTCAGCTTTCTGTCCCTTTAATAACCCACTTGCAGAAGATGCTGACCCTGCCGCAGACACAAAGGCTTTCTTGCCCCCCACTTGGCTATGGAAGACCCTGAGAGAGAAGCCATCTTTGCTCATCACCTGTGATTTCTTGGGCCATCCTAGTTCCCCCAAAACACTTCACCAAAATGTTCCCAGCTATCAACAATCTTTTCAGAGGTATTGCCTCAGGACACCCACACTAATAGCTCTGCTTGCAGAAATCTAAATGTTAAGGTTTTCATGACTGGACAGAAGCTTGAATCCCTTGCAGCTATAAGCACTAGGTGGTAAGGGACCCCACCCTCGCTCATGCAGACCCACTCCAAACTCATAAGACTTCCAGTTATCAACACCACTTTATGAACTGTCACACTGTGCTGATACTTCAGCTTTAGTTCAAAGTGCCACTGTCTGTATTTTTTGCATTTCATTTCCCTCTGACTATACCGTTTTATGCATGTGCTTGTCTGTATGTACCTACCAACCCTGGTTAATACTTCATGTAACTGAAAGCTTGGGTGATGATAAATGTGTTAGATTTCGAGATGCCACAAGATTCTGTCTTTTTTTGTGGCAACAGACTAGCACACCACTGTAAGATTCATTCTTGTGCCAGACCAGTATACCAAGAAAAGTCTCCAGCTATCCATGAATGTCAACATGCCTGGTTTTCCCAGGGTCTTTTGTAACACAGGTTCCTTATTCAGGGCTGCAGTATGTTAAAACTTCAGCTCTGTAGGAAACTCTGGGTGCTTTCTTTACCAAATAATTGAGCTGGCTTTCCTTCGTTCTGCAGTGAGACCTGTGCCTGTCAGTGACGACTCTGATTCGGATTATGAGCACTATGATTTCAACCACAAGCCACCAGTGGCCCTCTCAACCTTCTACAGTGAGCATCTTCCTCCTCCTCCTCCTGGTGCTGCTGGCGGCAAATATGTTACTGCCTTGTTTGGCATTGTTTGGGTGGAAGTTCCATGACACTTAGTTTAATAGAATTCTGGATCTGATCAGAGCTGTGCAGCTGGGGAGAGGCTGTTCAACCATTTCCCCTTGCTGTTTACCTGATCTAAATCCCCCCTCCCTAACTGTTCCTGTTCCTGCAATGGAAAAAAGATTCTCCCCACAGGACCCCACACAGCTTATTGCCCTCCTTCCTCAGCATGACTTGCTCCTTGGTGCACCTGCACATCCTCAGCTCCTGGCTCAGGCCCTCAAAGAACCTGCATATCTCTCTCTCTCTCTCTCTCTCTCTCTCTCTCACTCACTCACTCACACACACACACACACACACACACTGCTGCCCTGCTCCTGACCATGCAATCTGAACTTCTATAGATCCTATTCAGAAGGTCTGTCTGGGATAAGGGAATAGTAATGGCGGAGTTAAGTTTGGGGTATGTTCTAATCAGAGCACCACTCCCACCTATGAACTATCTAGATTAATATACCATACGTATTCAAAGGTAACTAAATGTTCAAATGTCATCTTTAAGGGATGCATTTGGGATTAGAGGAACTGGAGGTGAGAGAGACACACAGGGTATAAAACAACCTCATCTCCAGTGACGTCTGTAAGAACTCAAGGAGAAGGTCATGTTCTGCAGGTCTCCTGGCCCCAGAGCTTTTGAAGAAATCAGCAGCTCCAGAAATGGCTGTCCAGCCCCACCCCCACTCCCACCCCACCCCACCCTTTCCCTCCAGGGCTCTGCTTCTGAGAGTTGGATGTGGTCTGCTTGGCTCCTCTTTTCAGATTCTCTTCGCCACCGAGCAGCTGATGAGGACTTTATCATGCCAGCTTTGCCTGCAGAGCATGAGACTGGGCATTCAGCCTTTGAGAGAGATCCATGTGGGGGTGAGAGCCTTTCTGCATATGGTTGTTAGTACCGTAGCATTTTACCACAATTCACATGTAGTTGTTCTGAAGAGCCTAGCCCCCTTTGCTCACTACAGTCCACCAGTTACTTATCCTCTCTGAGGGATCCTGTGATGGTGTGACATGGCATTGGCCACTTAGCAACTTCCTGGCTTACTTGTGTAGTCAGACAGGCCTAGTGCCTGCTCTGACACTTGAGTATCTGTCCCAGCGGGTGATGAGAACCCTCAGTTTCTACCCATTTAGCCCTTTCCCTCTCTTATCTCTCCTATAGCACACTGTTTTCAAGGTGGGCAGTAATGTCTGTTGCACAGAATTGCCACCTTATGTAGCAATCATCTTTCCCATGTATGCGTCCAGGGCGTGGTTCAAGTGTGAAGGAAAGAAGCACCTACTAGATAACACACCTGGGAACACAGACAATTACATCTCCTTGCACAAGTCTGGAACACGTCCCTGAGTGTTTGGAAAAACACTTCTCTCCTTCACACCATGTGCATCCACCACAGCAATCTCCTGTGCATCCTCGGAACCATGTACAGTGTATAACTCAGAGAGAATTACTGGAAGACACCTTTCAGAAAGCCGATTCAACCCAATTTCAGATACTGAGGAACAGGTTGGGGCCGGTGTCAAGGACAGGCAAGTCAGCGAGGGCCTACATCCCCAGCAGAGACCCACAGTTAGCAGCCCTCTGGAGCTGCTGCTCCTCTTCACCTTTGCAACCCATTTGTGGACCTGCTTCTGCCTGCTCTGGCCCAGACAACAGGGCAGTGAGAAGGAACTTGTCCTCTTCCTGGCAAGCAAGCCAGTGGTAGCAATGATGAGAAAGAGGCTGAAGGGCAGTAGCAGCTCATGACACTGGTGGTGAGAAGGTAGCCTCTTTGAGGGAGGGTGCCCATCATGGGTGTCTTGCCCAAGGGCCTTCAGAAACCTGCCGCTGTCACAGGGACACACTGTGGAATCCAAAGCTCTCTGATTCCGTTCTGGAGTGGAAGGCTGAATGTATGTATGGTTTTCTCCAGCACAACCTGCGGCTGAAGACAGTGATAGCACATCTTCTGGAGATGCGGAATGGTATGAGAACATCCAGAAACCAGAGCAGCAGAAAGACCATCCAGGAAATGAGACTTCCTTTGAAGGTGAAGAGCAGCAATGTTGTAAATGGGGACAATTAGCCTTTAATTTGTCTATTGGTACACTTACTTGTCCAGTCAAGATTGTCACTGAATAAAACACACTGGGCATTTTTTCTAGACAATACCAACAAATAGAAAATGTAGCTGCCCGCTTCCTGCCTGTGGTTTCATGGGGCTAAGAAGAGCTCAGATTGTTGCAAGGTCATCCTCATCTCTTGATATTGTTCTTATGCAGGCATTCTAGGGTAGCACAGCTGATCCCAGTCACACAATCCTGCAGGAGGTCCCAGCTGCAGAGCAGCTTGGGCCAGGGGTAGCCTGCTTGTTTGCTGCCAGAGGTTGCTCTCTCCTCTAGGAAGGCCTTTGATGCAATCCAGCAGGGCTCAGGGGCATCTTTTCTTCAGTTTGTCTGTGATCCAAACAGAGCCCTTCACAAGTGAAATCAAGTTCTGTAAAGAAGTTGGCACCATCTGGCAATATGCTGCGGAGCACACACACGGAAGTGTAGCATCGCATCCCAGTTGTTCCTCCGTGGTACATACGAAACCCAGGGAAAGTGAAGCAACATTTTTCCAAGTCTGAACTTTCTGCATGAAGCTGTGGCAAACGTTTGATCACAACTTGATTAGAATGCAGTGGGGCTGCCGGGGGCCAGATATACTTTTTTTCTAGGATGGGGGCCAGTTAGGCATCCCTGGTTTAGACAATACTGGTTGCTGTTATAGGACATTCCAGGGCCACGGACGATGCCTTTCCTCATCTAAATGCAGAGCCATCGCTTACTGCAGTCCTCAGCGCATGGCTCGAGCAGCGACCAGGCAGAACAAAATCCCAGAACTCCCCACCCCAACCGTGAAAAGTGCTCCCCCCTTGTTATCTGATCAAATCCCCCAAGGGGCTGCACAGCTAGATACTTGGGTCACCAAACATCTCCGCCTCCTCCCGAGATGTGTCCTTCTGCTTCTTGTCCACTAACCCAAATGCATTTCTCATTTCTTTGCTTCAGGCATGACAACGTTTTCTGGACCTTTGGTGAACTGTGAGGTTGGACCTGAGACTGGCTCATTTGACAGCAGCGATTACGATGACACGTGGTCCTGAGGGGCAGGCTTGCTTCACAGATGCCGCAACTCCATCTGTCTCTTCACTACCTCCTTCTTTAGAAACAGCCAAGGATGACAAGCCTGAGAACCGGCAGAGGCTGGTTTCCATAGGGTTTCAGCCGCGAGGATTTGGCATTTGGAAAGAAGACCCATGGATCCCAGAATTAAACCATGCCTGCAAAGAAATGTCAGTGCCTATCCCAGGATTAACTAGAAATGTGTCACATTCACACAGATACATTTTTCTAACATATGCTATTGAGGGAGAAGCCCTATAAGGACAAATGCTGAGCTTGGATTAGATTCCCCTTCCCTGATTTTGTTTTTCCAGTCAGTGATGTATTATCATAAAGTACTTGAGACAGACATTTCCAAAGCTTTAGCCATCACCTGGATTCTAATTTCAACATACAGGCAGCTCAGACAGAAGCGTCCAGAAATAGGTACAGCCCTATCACCATGAACTATGTTGCATCACCAACACAGACGTCCCCCTGTGGTACTGGCAAGGAGGCCAAGTTCCCATTCGTGGAATCAGAGCTCTGCTAGTAGGATCTGGGCATCCTGTTTCTTCTCTGGAGGCAGTGCTTACTACATTGCCAGTGAATACTCAAGTTTTCTGGTTAGGGCTTGGGCTCATTCACTGATGGATTAGATGTCAAGGTTTTCCGCTGGAAGAAATCTAGATTTTGGCCTTGAAAGGATTGGCCTTTCTTAGGGCAATGCTCAGGGAGGTATCTTCTGTGTGTGCACGTTTTGTTTTAATGCCATAATGCATCAAGTTCTGGAATTCAGTAACCAGACAGATGTGAGACTTGAAGTAAAATGAAGAAGGTTGTGAGTAAGGAAGGTTGACAGTGGTTCCAGATGACAATTGTATTGCACAAACACCCTGCCTTAGGCATGGAATTTTGCAGGAATCCAAGCTTTGCCTTCTATCTGTAATCTTGACATGCTTCCCTACCAGATCTTCCATCTCTCCACAGAGAAATAGGAAATAGGTGCACAGTGTCCTTTGAACAGAGCACTAGGAACTCTCCTCCATCTAGAAACATCCAAAGGCTCTGCCTGACCGTCCCATTGTCTCATTGTCTGGGGACAATTAAGTCCCTTTCTGTACTCAAGTTTCTCCCTAGGATGAGGAATGGGTGGTGATGGTACCACCCATTCCATGGTGATATTAGCTTTCTTCTCTAGGACTTCCAGAGGCCTTTGAGCTCCTGGGATGGAAGATGATCTGGATAAGCAAGGGCTAAGGGGCTTCAGGAGACAGACCTAGTCTTCTTCCTGGTCAGATTTCAAGCCAGGCAACAAAAACAGGACCGACTGTTGTTGGCTAAATCTGAGGAAGTCCAGTGGAAGAGCTCAAGCTCTGCACTCAGTAGGGCATGGATGCAGGCCTTGGTATCTTCAGCTAAAAGTATCACAGGTAACAAGGATGGCAAAGAAGTTCCCATGCATGCTAACCTGGAGAGCTTCCTTCGTTTGGAGTAGCTGATATGGCTTAACTACTCCAACAACTAGGCTAGATGGATCAGTGATCAGATTAAATATCAGGCAGCTCTTCATATGGTCCCATCTAGACTTTTCCGGTCTGGCGCTTGTTAAATATTTTGTTTTTCATCTCCCAGAAGCCCCAGCCAGCAGGGCCAATCATGAGGTATGATGGGAGTTGCATTTCAAACAAGCTGATGGGCACCAGGCTGCGGGATTTTGGGCTCACCTAAGAAAACAGTTCTGACAATAACTTTGTAAAACCACTGTAACTGAGTGTGTAAAGAGTTTGGTCCAGCATTGCACTCACCCTCACCTTACCCCATTTCCCACCCACCAGTGGTAGAGAGAACTCCATGTGTCTAGGAGTACAAATGTGAGGCCCTGCAAAACCTGAGATGCTGCGCAGTGGCTGGAGAAGGATGCAGCCAGCGTTAGCAGAGGTGACCCCTGAGGAGCCCTTAGCAGGACCATCTTCTGCCTTAGCTGACCCATATTCTTTTGAATTGCATTCCTGTTACTCAACCCACCATGGCAACTTTAGCCATTGCACTTTTGTAATGATGTACAATTAATTAAAAAGAAAGGCTATCTTGGGAGTTGTTGTTGTTGTTGTTTTTAAATTCTCAGAACAGATTTAAGAGATAGATTGATTTCATGAAGGCAGCCACAACCTTGAATTTACAGGAGCTGAGCAGGGCTGTCAAAGACAGGAAATTTTGGAGGGCTTCATTCACAAGCGTTGCCATAAATCAGAGACAACTTGACAGCATGTTGCAGCAGCAGCAGCAGCTGAGATGAGATCAGAGCAGAGAAGTTGGACCTCCGCGGTGTGAGATGGTCCTATTCAGAATAGTCTTTTCAGTTCCACTCCTCCCACCCCCAGTGGTCAGTTTTCTGTGGCAACAGAGAATGCTCAGTCCTAGCTGGGCTGTTTTGGACATGGGGTGTCCCCCTGCAGTGTGTACTTTTCCTACCTGAGACATTTTGTACTGCAAAATCTACTAATTCCCTAGTCCTGTGTATGGATGGTATCATTTTGGCTACTTAAGCAATTGCACTCACTTGTAAATGCCAGAAATGGAGGGTGTTGTGGACTGGGAAGAATGGGGAGGTGGACATCCACAAGCCCAAATGGAGAGAATGGGGGCATTTGTTGGGTAGACAAACATCTCTGGGTTGTGTTCCCTCTGAGCTTCTAAGGAACCTGGTCCAGCCCTGTTACTTCTAGATGTTCTGTATGTCTGAGAAGTCCTTTCATATATTATAGTTTTGAATGAACAAGTTTAGGATATTTTAAAACAGGCATATAATGAAGGAGTCATTGACCTAGTTCACACATCATAACAACCCACAGTTAACAAACCATGGGTTGTCAAAAGAATGGGTGGGAGCAAGTATGTGTGTGGGTTCCTGGCTGTTTGCCCCCAGTGAGATAAACAGTCCAGGGATACTCTGTCCCTTACTATGACTTCTGAACACAGAAATGTGCTGGAAACCATGGGTGGCTTTTCTCAGCAGGAGCAAGTAGACCCTCTCACTTTTTCAACAATCTATAGTTTGTTGTTATGAGAAAATACATCCTTTTTGTGTATTTTAAAAGTTTTCATAGTGTAGTTCATCCAAAAGGATACTACATTGGTTTGCATCAGAACTAAACAATAGTATCCACAACATCATTAACAAGCACATAAATAAAAATAGATTCAAACAAGCAATGAAAGAAGAACAAATTAAAAGAGCAACACCTGCAGAGAGTATAAGGGACTCAGAGGAGAGAAGCAAGGATGATCCAGGGACTGGAAACAAAGCCAAGATGGATGGATTGAAAGAACCAGACATCTTTAGCCTGGAGAAGAGAGGGGAGATACGATAGCACTTTTCAAATACATGAAAAGCTGTCACACAGAGGAGAGCCAGGATCTCTTCTCCAACGTCCCAGAGTGCAGGGCGTGGAATGATGAACTTAAGTTACAGGAAGCCAGATTCCAGGAGACATCAGGACAAATTTCCTGACTGTTAAAGCAATAGAACAATGGAACCAATGACCTAGGGAAGTCCTGGGCTCTCCCACACTGCAGGCATTAATGAAACAATTAGATAGCAATCTATTAGGGATGCTTGTATTTGGAGTCCTGCATTATAGGGTTATCTTTATAGGCCTCATCCAACTCTATAATTCTATGAACATGTTGACAATCAACAGAATTTAACAATCAGCCAATGTGATCTGAAATTTCTAAAAGGGTTTAAGTTCATGTGCAAATATTTATCAGAAGAGAATTCCATGACATTGGCACCTTTACAAAATGTCTATTCTCTTAGCAGAAGATAATCTTATTTCAGGATTGGTTGACTCAGAGGTGAAACCCATTCTGCAATGTGCAACATAGGAGATTCCTCTTATATTTAATGCACAATCCTATGCAGGTTTAGACAGAAGAAAGGCCTAAAATGCATGTGGGGAGTTGTAAGCTGTTTTTTTCTGTATGAAATCCCACAAGTGGGATTGTGCCTTAAGTCTCTCTTATATCTGCTAGAAATGTAAGAATTTACAAGATAAATAAATGTAACCTCCCCCGACCCTACATGTTTATTCTGAAACAAAGTTCTAGGCCTGATGCAGAAGATGGGATGAGGGAACTGCATGCCAAGCAGAAGTGCTTCAAAGAAAGACTGTGCCCAGTAACACCAGCATTTCAGGTTCTCTAAGGCCAGGGAACTGACGTTGAGTCAGAACAAATACGTCTACTTTTTTCAAAGCCTTATTCCCAAATGACCTATACATTATATATCCCCAGCAGAAGCATATGGGAAACTCTTGATGCTGTCCAGAATAATAACACGATCCACTGCTTTTCAACTGTAACCTATTTATACTGTACATCACCTTTGCCCTCCAGGGAGAGAGACTCTCCACTCGTTGCAAGGATGAAGCAGAAGGGCCTGTGCAATCAGCAAAACTGCTTTGAAAGATGTACAACTAATTGAACAAACAGAATGAGGAAGCATTCAGGGGCACGTAACAGCCCCCTCTCGCCTGATGCTTCGCAACGCATGTGACGTGTGCAGAGATGACCTTGCCAGCATCGGATTTGGCATGGCTCTGCTGTACAGATTCAATGCACCTGGAGCAAATCTCCTGGGATAACCAGTTGCAATGTTTGCAGCTGCTCGGTTTAGGAAAAAAAGGGTGAGGAAGGTGGGGACATGGTAGACTTGTATAAAATCATGCATGGTGCAAAGAAAGTAAATACTCTTTTAGTTCCTGGGAAATGCTAGCAGGAGGCTGCTCTTGCACTCATGTCCCGTGTTGGGGTGTTTCTGAGCACCTGACTGGGCACTGTGGGAAAAGAGCACTAGACTAGTGCTTTGCTTTTATGCTGTGAGGCTCTTCTTATATTTGCATGTCTTCATCTGCTGCTGTGCTGCTGCCCCACTCGATCCTCAGAATTGCCTTGGTAGAAAGACTGATGCAGCTTTCCTGTGCCCCTGTGTGGGAAGCAGGGTGTGATCAAAAGAACTTTCTGCTGGCCATCTGGGGATCAGAGGAACACGGCCTCTGACCATGCGGTGAGTCACCAGCTAAGACTTGCAGTCTTGGTCACAGAAGGGATGGTCAGCATTATTGTTCAGGCCATCTGTAGATTTATGAGGCCCCCTGGACACCTTCAAAGGACCCCCCTCTCTAGCATCCTTGTCCCCCACCTGCTGAACTCCCTCATTTCTGCCCCCACTTGCCAGATCACCAGGTGGAGCGGCAAGGCCATTTCCTGCTCTCCCTTCTCCCCACCCCCATCGTCTGGACCAGAGCGAGAGGCGGGTGGACAAGCAGGTCACCATGGGGAGGTAGAGGAACAGCTCCCAGGGCCCGTACATGTGGGACCTGTTGGCTTGAGGGTCCTGGGTCCTTGAGGTCCTATGCCTACCTTTAACACCAGTCCTAGTTCTTGTCATTTATGTATTTAGCTATTTATTGCAACAGCTTTAAAAAAGGTGCTTTATGAGATGAAAGAAAACAAAATCAAGTCCGAATTATGAGGCGTCGATCGGCCTTGGGATGTGTCTGTGCTTCCCTTTGCTCGTTCGGGTCACTTGCGGTGTCGGGCGCGCCCTCCGGTCCGTATCGCCATCTAGTGGTCAACGTCGCAAGCGATGCACTGGATGCTGGTTTCACCAAGCACAAGTCGCGGTTTTTGTCCAGTGCCGCTGACAAGCAACAGAGAGCAACTCTCCCGCTGCTGCAGCTTCAGCGAGCCGAAAACAAGTGGCTGCGCATACGGGCGGAGCAGCTCTTTGGTCGGTCGGTCGCTTTTGGTGTGAAGCGAAGCATGTTGGCATTTTAGAGAGTAGCCTCCAAATTTAATCCGTGGGGTGTACAGGCTCAGCCTCTGAGGTACACATGGAGCTCCCCTTGCCTCATTCACTTCAATGGGCTGAGCTCTTTCCCATCCATTCCTGTACTGTGCCACTGCTCATCAGGATGCCAGCCACGGGTGATTTGCACACTGGGGAGGGGTTGCCCCAGTTCCTCGTTCCCAGCCAGTACACTCACTGCAGTTGTGCGCATTGTGTAGGCCGTGGGTTCTCAAACTACGGCCCAGGCGCCAGATTCAACCTGCCATGCCCATTTATCCGGCCCGCCATGCCCATCTGGACCCTCTGCCCATGCGCGCGCCCCCCGCCGCCACCCATGGCGCCCCACGCGCAGGGAGGCAGCGGTTTGCTCGCTTGGAGAAGACAATCTCCGAGCCAGCAAGCCGCTGCCTGGTGCGCCTGCCCACCCACTCTCGCCTTGCCTCCCCTCACCGTGCGCCCCTCCCCCGCCCCCTCGCTGGCCTGCACGCACGGCCAGGCGCCCCCTTTCCGGCCCATGCCCACCACTGGCAGCTTTCAACTGGCCCCCTGGTCAAAAAGGTCGAGGACCCCTGGCGTAGGCAGTGCGAGCAGTTCTTTCACACGATGTTCGCCCAGCGTCTTAAGCACAGCATTCCTGGAATTCATTATTTTTCTGGGTAGAGTGTCCATTGCATCTAAATGGCTCTGTGAAATGAGACAGTGTGAGTATTTGGCGGGGAGGGGCGATATCATTACTAATAAGAGTCACACCTTTGCCCTCTCAGTGGCCACCCCCACATTTGTGGTCTTGAAAAGGTTTTGATTATTTCTTTAGTGGTTGAGAGTGTCTTTGCTGCGTCTTTCATGATTGGCTGAAACTTCTATGTACTTTTAACTTTTACTTTTAACTAGCAAGGCTATCCTGTTCTGTCACAAATAAAGTCACAGTCTATAAAGACTTTATATCTTTTATTCCCTTGTATTATTAAATGCACAAGAAGGATATCCTTCTTCGCAGCAAGACAATCTTTATGGGGAGAGAATATGGCATTATTGGCACTGGGCTGATTCTAGAGTTTTCTACATAAGGCATGTATTGTATGCTCATAATTCCTCACTCATACCTTCTTTCACAGGTTCTTAGAAACTCATCTTTTTCAGAGCACACTTCCATTTTTCCTTCCTTCCCTCCCTTAAGAGCAAGGGAAGTAGAGTGTTATTTCTGAAGGCAAAAGAAAAGGACTTTTCCTACTGGTGTAAT